TCACAAAATCACAATAGGAAAGGAATGAGTAGCAAATGGGAGACTCACGAATGTGTAGATCCAATAGTTTCCCTTGTCGGAATTTCCCGCAGATAGTTCCGCGTGCGTGATATATTCCCGGTAGGAAAGCGCGCCGCGCCGGAAAATTGTGTATTCGTAACATTAAAACGAACGTCATGATACAATGTGAACTACAGTTACAAAGTGTGGTTCAATGAAGAATGGTTCAGCAGGTCGCGCCGGAAAACTGTGTATTTGTAGCATTAAAACGAACGTCATGATACAATGTGAACTACAGTTACAAAGTGTGGTTCAAGTTCAGGAAGATTGGTAAATGTGACAACGGATTACGGACACTACATACCCACCCTTTAAATTTGGGTTTGGTTGTTGCGTTGGAGACTTGATCTCCCAACTGAAACGGTGGAAAAATACAAACCACGGCAGGAACTTCAGGTTATACCTTGGGCGATCTCTCTCACGAAGAAATAAGGCGGAGACTGTTGCCTTCTTTAAACGTTTACTGTCACCAAACACAAACCTAAGCAACGGGTTCTGATGTAATATTCACGAACTATCTGGCTTTTGGTATGTATCGTTCCCTTTCTAGCCTTGATGAACACGAAAAATAAATCCAAAGAAGTGGAATACGTTATATGCTATACCCCGTAGAGATTTCCGAAAAGCCCGACACCAGATTACGTTCGAAAGTTTTCCTTTAGTGAATTATTGACCCTTGGAAAAAACTCCGTGCAGGAGTCAGAGACGACTTATCCACTGTGTTTAGATGCCAGACTAACGAGTCGTGGAAGAACGTTTTCCCACACGCGTTCCTGGTGAGTTGGTCGTATTATCAGCGCTGAGGTTTTTAGACCTGGCCCACGGACGCATAATTTGCACGACGAATCGCAGTGCAGGGGATTAGGTGTAACACACGAAAGTCTTCCTCGGAAATCTGAAAAAGCCACCTTAAACATCGCCAAAAAGTTGAAAGAACAAGCAGAAGGGAGAAAGAAAGAGTGCCTACACTTTCGGAACGGAAAATAATCGAAAGTATAAGGGACCAGACGCAAAACTGGAATCGGTGTAAGAAAAAACTATGAATTTACACCTTTTTGAGTGTTTACCTCTCACTTTAACTGACTTTCACAATCCAGGGAAAAATTCATTCCCCGGATAAGATACTGGACGAATCCCTGAGAACGGTAATGACGTGGCAAACCATACGATACTGGTTCTGTTTTACTCAGTCACATGGGAAGTCATTTCAGCATTCGCAAATATTCAAACGTGCGACCAATTATCGTTATGAAACGCATGGATTTGACCACAAAATCGTAATTTCTGAACGTGACCAGAGGTCAAGACGTTATTTTTTGGGACTTTCTGTATACGGAGTATTTCTTGGTACGACTACGCCTTGATGCGAAGGGCCATATCAATTTTTTTTACACTATGAAAATAGCACAGGCAGAAACTCTCATTTATTGTTATTAATTAAGCAAAGTTGCAAGGAAGACGTACAGATACGGAGGTTTAGAATTGAACGTTAGTGATGAATGATCCATGGTGTTGACCAACCTTCACATAGACTGGTCCCTAGAACGGACAAAATTGAAAAGTATGGCCTCTTTGACAGCGCTAAGAATCATTTACTGTGGAAGGTAAGAAACGAACGCTGGAAGTTTAAGCATAAGTGTCCACGAGGCTGGAAGGTTGAAAGTTAAGTCAAAAGTGAAAAGTTAACATGTCGAATAATGACATAGGTCAAAAAGTAAACGAATTTAAAGGCAGTTGAAAGGCAGAAATCCTCTAGAAAACAAGCACGCGTTCGATTCCTTCACTTTCAGCCCCGGTACAATTTGGACCCGACTTGTCCGAGACCTGGAAAGCAAACCTACTTTCAATTCGATAGATATCTTCAACTTACGAGGAATCGACTGGATATTCTACGATTGTTGCCCTGGAACCACTGCCATGCAGACTGTGGTTCTAGGCTTCAACAAATGACAGGTGATGCGCACATTCATCAAACTCCGTGGACTGTGGCGACAAACAACGGTTTTTCCTTCTAGATTTGATTAGCCCCAAGTCACCAGAGCTGACAGTTGGTGTCGATGTCCTGCCTTCGAAAGGGAGTATGGCCATGCAGGGTTGATTCGCGATATGGTACTGGAATACTTTGCTTCAGATCCGGAAATAGAGTACATCATCATCAATCTGCGTGCTGCCCACTGTAATCACGTCTCAGTAGCACAATCGATGGATGAAAACATAACTGCTTCTGGAAGCACTTTTGATATTCTTTTTATTGAATTTATGAGTCACAAATCAGCTACGACTAAATATACCTTTCTGAGAAAGTTCAAGAGGTGCAGTCACACTCAGCCCTATTTCAGTCATCCAGAATTGCACTAAGTAGGGCTTTTGCGTCGCCAAACTCAAGCTTTGGAAGAAGGATGACTTCTCGACAACTGGCGATCGAGATAGTGACGTTTTTGTGGTGGACGCATCAAGTGGTCTTTTCACATACAAAGGTTGATCATGCGGACCAGATGCTTCTGTTGACCTTCTTTTTGGTCTCATGGATGCACGTACTTTTTAAAAGCTGGACGCCTAAAAAGCACTGAGGAAGGACGGGTACCATTACTTATGCTAACGAAAATAGTAGTAATTATCGCATATCTATTATTTTGTATGGTTAACTGTCAGAAGAACTCGCAAGGCCGCTGAGAGAGTATGGCTGAAGCTTACCGAGAAAAGAGACGGTATAAGTCCAAAGAAGTCCAACCACAGCCATATATAAGCTGTTTGAAAAAATGAGTGAAGCAAGAAAAAATGAGCCGGTGCAAATACCTTGTGTAAACTCCACCGGGTATCATTATGGTGACTATATCTCCCAACTTGTTCTCTGACTTCCTTCTGCACAGGGTGATTAGCTATTGAGATAGTCATATTCGTGCAACCCAGGTGTTTTTTTTCTGATTGCGCATGAATCATGTAGTTACGCAACGCCAGGATTTGGAATAATATCGCCGCTTTTGATGTCCAAGGTTGTCGTATTTTCTGGTTTCACTTCTGCTGTTGACTCCGCTGAACTTCAGAAAATGTTGCAGTGTCTGGTCACGATGTATCTTCCTTATTATGGTCTCATATAAAAGGACTGTATGCCTCCTGCAGGAGCTTGTGTGCATACGGCAATTTTTCTTCCGGGTTTACCAAATCCAGTGGTGATATGCAAGGATGTTCTACTTTTACCTTCCCTTTTCCTTCAAAAATTGACATATTTCACTTTTCTTTGACTCAAAATGGTGTCAAGGAGTTTGCTCATGGACACTCAGTACGTCGGAAATATTGCTTTTTTGGACGGGGAATTTTGGTGTCAACTGCTGTAAACAACCTAAAAGAGTCTGCTTGACGGTTTGGGACATAAAGCACGTAAAGCATCATTGCATTTGTAGATGGAATCGTACCCAAATTTCATGCTTGCAGGAGCAGTTGCACAGGTGTCGATGGTATGGAGAAAGACAAAACCACTTCCTAGAATGGGAAGGTTATGACAATGTTTGCTAAGCCTCCTCATTTGTGGAGCCAACATGACATTAGCTGACTTCCAAGCCTGCAGTTAAAAACGTTAGGGTTCAACCTGTTCTACTTATGGATTGCAGGCGCAGCCGCTGCACATAGAAAACCTTCTTCGGATCAACGTATTCAACTGTACGTGATTTTGAAACATCGTGCAAGTCTTATAGGGACACAAGATCAGTAACGCTGAAGTATGCCAATAGTTTTCGGGAAATTTCAGTCTCCTAAAATAGATAGTCGGGTCACAATTTACCGTTTAATTTAGTTAGGACATGCAATTCATGTAGCCGAGGATTGTTAGTGAAGTTGAGCCCTGTTTACCTAGCTCTGCATTAAGACAATCTGAAGGCAATCAGTCTGTGACGTGATAACAAGGCGGCAAAAGCATTACGCTTCAACTCTGATGGCTGCCTCTCCCCTTATTAGAGCCGCAAGACGGGACAGACCAATGTTTGGTGGCCGGGAGATTTTTTTCTTTATTACGTACCAACGGTGGCTTTGCAGCTAAGCCACCTCCTCCACTGCAATCTCGTATTTCCATCCTTGCGAATTATACAGAAACCTTTGATGTCAATGAACTCAATGGGTCACTGCCTCGAACGCGTAGGTCTTGCTCTGTTATCCTTCCTATTCTCGGCGAAGTAAGCCATCACGTCTACAACTTTGCATTTTGATGCATCAATTTTTAGCTAAAACCTCAAGTGGACGTTGATTTTATTCACTGGGAGTAGAGGTCACTTTCTACCTACCATTCTTTCTGAAATACTTGCGTGGACTTTGACCATGCAGTTGTCTGTAATTGCTTTTCTTTGTGCCGTTTAAGTGTCCTTATTATGCACACACCTCACTTGGCTAATGGGGCTATTGTCAAAAGGCAAGCAAGTCAATTAAAACCAGCTCCTCTAGTGACTTTTGGCTATTCCGATGTCGAAGGCGCTACTTAATGTCAGAAACGTTATACAGTGCAACCTCATTAGAGCACTGGACCTCTAATAGTACCGCAGTTTTACCTTAGACCTGTCAATAAAATCCTCCTGCAAGCAACCGTAGTTGAACCCGATGCTGTTATCCGAAGCCAGGTTAAACTGAGTGTTTGCCCAGACCTCGAAGTTTGGTGGATTCGACAGGCTGAAAAAATGATGGAGGATAAAAATGCTACGAAAGTCCGCATTTTGTTTCACATGAGTTGTTCGACTGGTCCTCTGAAATTTTCGCCAACAAAACCATCAAGAACAACAATGGCTCTCTGGTATCCGGAAAAGAAAACATTTGGACTGTTGGGGGCAATACTTCGGAACCAACCAAATTGACCTTGTTGCCTCCAATATGGAACGCCGACCTTAAGCAGAATGATGGATTGTAAACATGGAAACCCTTTCAGCCTCAAAAGCATTAGGGCGTCTATCTCTATTTAGGAGCCGTTGTGTTCTTGCTCCCGCTGGTTTCTCATCAGTTCAGTTCAAGGACCGCAGTGAATTTTGCATTTGATATTTTTCTTGCCTCTGTGTTCATCTGGGAGAAAGCGTCATTCCAGACAATTGAGAGAAGTCTATCATTGTACTCACCTTCAAAAAAGGTACTTGCAACGAGTGTAGCAATTACAGGGGTGTCAGTATGACTTCAGTTGTAACATAATTCTGGCGTTAATGATTTTGCTTACGGTGGCGCTCGACTCCCTGACCCTTGAGCATGAAGCAGGATTTTGATCGGGTAATTGCTGCACCGATCGTAACTTTGCAATCGGCCAGGAGTTAGAGTGATGCCACATATACAGACAAGGATGCGACGGATTTCCTCGCTTAGTCAGTACTCCTAACTTAACTTTCTCAACATGGAATTCAGGAGTATTTCGTGAATGTAATGTATTTCGTATAACCACATAATTTTGGGCACATTATAGCGTATGTCGAGCTCTTAAAAAGCTTTACTTCAAAAAGCGCTGTCCAGGATTACCATCGATGAAGCGATTGAGTGAAGGCTGGAAGAATTTCAGAAATCCGTCGTTCAGATAGCTGCTGGACAAAAGAATGTTGGCATAGAGTACGCAGACGGTGTCGTACGTATCTTTGAAGACAAAGACAAAGGCCAAGCACAGGCTTTGTTTGAATAAACTGACCACAAATGCACCAGCTCTCGGTGTCAGCATCGCACCTAAGGCGTACAGCCTCTGAGCGTACCGTTAGAAATGCAAAGGTAGAAACTGCAGGTTAAGGAGAATTTTACATCTTTCTGCGGATGTGTTAGCTCTTACGGAAGTGAGAGCTACTTTGGTTGTTTTACTGTTTGGGGATGTAGGCGCCTCGGACTGCTTGGGTTGTTTTCTCATTATGTCCCCTCTACATTTACTCCTTTCTATTTTCCTCACTCCTAGTGCGATTTCTACAGACATTGGCACAGTTTGAGGTAATTCTCGTCCTCAAGTGGGGTACTTACGTATGTGCTACCGAATATGCTTCCAATGTCGGAGCAGGACGTGTTTGGTTTGGTACATCTGTGCTCAACACGCTAAGTTGTTGGAGGTCTTGGTAGAAGTTCCTAGCCCAATTCAGGCCTGTTTCACTCGTACCAAATAAAAAGTGAATAGGATTATTGAATTTTGCTTCGTAGTAGTAAGCACCAGTTATCTCTCAGTACTACTTGGCTCAGAAATAGTTTAGATAAGGTCGCGCTACCTGACGTCCTACTGATAAATAACCGTGGAGCTGAACTGACTACGTAGGCGTAAGCTTTTGGAAACGAAGCTCAATTAATTGCTGTTGATCTTTCTGACTCACTTCACTTTTTGGCCAAAAGTTTCGTTGATTTTCTATGGTAACCCAAAACTCCACCTTATTTAACCACACAAACTTTCTGGCACTGTAATTCGGTTGTGTTTTATTTGTGTAAGGCGACTGGTTTTTGGAATAAGAAATTTCTGCTGTCAACAAGGGCGAAGACGTTTTAATTTTTAACTTTCCTTTAGTGAATTTCTTTCGCACTTCACAAGTGTGTGTGTTGCTAATGGAGATTGCAACGACCGATAATGGACTGATAAGATTAATAAAACGATCTAGGGACTAAAGGTTGCACATGTTTGGTAACAGAAAGAACCGCAGGCAAAGAGAATGAGAGTATACCGTAACAGGTTGACGGGTTGTGTAAACAAACGGTATGTAAACTTGTAGATTCTGTTACAAAATGATCCTGTTTTAAAACTGCCGTGTTTATCTCGGGAGATGATTGATAAAGCAGCGAGGCAACTGTTTGTGATTTGATTGTCATGCCACCAGGGTACATTTTGGTTTAAGCCAGAGCCACTACTTGATTCAGTGAAAGGTTGTTGAATGCTGTTATAAGATTTTCCGTCTACCTTAGGAGGATTTATTAGGTTACGGTGGAGATGTATCCTGCAATTTTTTAGACACGCTTCACTTGTGTTTACTTTCATCCAACAGTTATGTAGTTATTGATCTGCTACCCTATTTTTCAAAGGCAGTTTGCCTAAAAGTCAAAGCAGGAGGCTTTTAGGTATTTTGACGTCGGTTGATAGCTTGTCAGTATATGCCGAGTCAAACGAGGACTATTTTCTACCAATCTAATCGTATCATCATACCTAGCACTTAATCACGTACAGTTACACGTATTCACACGCATTTACACTGATTTGCGTTTTGCAAAGTGGTGAATATTAATATTTGCATGGGTCATCGTTAACAATTGTCATTGAGAAAGGCACAGGATTTTTAGAAAGAAATTGTAGCGAAAAGATGGCGGGTTCGAGTCAAAACAGCACGCTTGCGAACTCAGTGGCCATTTGCATAGGATGCATTAATAAAGAATCGATCTTGGATGAATATTAATATTTGCATGGGTCATCGTTAACAATTGTCATTGAGAAAGGCACAGGATTTTTAGAAAGAAATTGTAGCGAAAAGATGGCGGGTTCGAGTCAAAACAGCACGCTTGCGAACTCAGTGGCCATTTGCATAGGATGCATTAATAAAGAATACGATCTTGGAGATCAGCAAAGAGAAAAATCAGTTGGCAATTCAGAGTAAGTGATATAGTTTTTATGTTTTTTATTCTTTTTCTTTTTCCTAACTTCATGGATAAATTTGACGTCAGTATGTGTGATCTGCGAAGCTTACAGATCAAATGTACATATACGGAAAGAAACAGAAAGGAACACAAAGGGATGCAGTCGGTTTGCACCAGACAATGATTGGTTGACTTATTGTTTTGGCGTTACATGTTAGGTGAACTTTGGGAGGCAACACCTCAGACGTGTGAAAGAGCAGTAGTCCCATTTCTGTTGCATATCGGACACTAATCTTCCTTACAAATTCGTTTCTGATCTGTTACTTGAACGGATAGTATGCTTCAGAGGCAATTAGCAAGTAACTTTATTAAACATTTTGTCTAATGTGAAAAGTGACGTTTAAATCTAAAACACAATGTGGGTGATTACCAGTTCGTGTAAACGAGTGCGCACTCTGGGTGAGATTTCTTTGAGTATATTGAAGTGACAATATTCTTTGTGGTGTTTATCGACACTGAGATGTGAACTTGGTGTGCTTTCGTGAAAGACCGCTGGCCTACTTGTGAGACGACCGCAAGAAGGCTATTTGCTGGAACTTGTCCAAATTGGTTATGGTGCTAAAACTCGTCCGCGTTTACGGAACAAAAGAGTCTTTAGTCTTTGGGTTGATTAGCGTGCCTGATTTGATGCCATTACCCTGGAAGTGTATTTTTTAAATCACGGCAGGACTTACAGCCGGCTATTGAAAAGACAACTAAAAAGCCTACAGTCTTTCACACTTTTGGACTATGGGTGTCGACATCGCGTTCTTTCTTCTATATGGCCCTTATGAAAAGGAATGTCGTATCAGCAACCGGTAACTTTCCCCATACATGTACTCAAAGAACACACGAAAAGAAAGGACCACTGAGTGCACTTTTGTGGAGTGATTTTTCCGCCGTTCTGCAATATACGGAAAGTGCGCCGATGACTTTTACCGGAACACCACGTACTATAGAAATACAGACTCGTAGCTGTCCACGCGTGAAAAGTATACAAAAACGCAGGTGCAACACGGTCTTGCTTCACGGTCAGGGCACGTAACTGTATGAAACGACTTTTGCGATGGTACCGTCACTAATACGCGGAGGCTCCATATAGCGAAGCAGCTACACGTACTTGGGGTTATTGTGAAAATACATTTAATGTACCAAATTATTTTTGCGTTAAAATAGTTTACAAGACTAAAGGATGTACCGCACACTAGCGAAGAAACGTGATTGTAACATTTGGTACCAAAACATCATGAATGTTCGGCTTATTGCTAACAAACTCAATTGAATACCGGTACATAGAGTTGGTCAAATAAGATTATATCAGGCATGGAATTGAATCATGATTTTATGATTGTTTCGGCACTTTGGTTCATTGCAGATATCTGAGGTGTATTCATTGCAATCCCCTATTAGTGTTTTGTCGATTTAACCTCAGAGATGGCAGGGAAGGGGACGCCACGCACTGCTCGAGCCAAGTGAAGCATATCTCTTCGACTGTACATCAGCATTAACAGGGACTTGCCTGTGTTTGGCTGTATGGAAGCACGATGACCTAACAACATCATTAGCAAGTTCACTTCCGAGTCACACCCTCTGACCACCGGCCACCCCCTGAGCGTTCGGTTATTACGTTCGGTTGGGCCATTTGTTTGCGGGCGGTATGGTGCCGTCCTTAGCCGCCCGATACCCAGTTTCTGCAAGCAATTCCTAAACTCTTCGCTCTCGAAGCAAGGACCCTGATCGGCTAGCATCATTTTTGGTGAAACCACATCGCGTGACCAAAATTCTTGCAATAACTGGTACAAGTAGGGCGATATCCATTGACAAGACTGGCATCATTCGGCAAAGAAATCGAGGATGACCAGTTTGTTCTCTGCGGCACAGTATTCACACAGTCTGTGGAACTCAGAGATGGACGTGAACAGTCGCACGTGAGCGGCGGTCATCAAGTGTTCAGCAATTTGACAGCATGCACTAATTCACACGGCAGAGGGAGGACCATACATTGTACCCCCAGTTGCACTTCGGAATAGCTCATGAGTCGCGTACCGTAATGTTACTGTTCTATCACATCGGACCAGTACATAAACAATACAACTCGGGGCTGTCTAGTAGTTTGCGTGCATTATTCTGAGGTTAACTCGCAATAAATGTTATTTCGGAGATAAATTTCGGGATTAAGTGACGAAAGTCAATGAGCGATAACTTGCTAAACATTCGAGAATATCTTACTGGTGTGACCGATCAGACAGTTTAACTAATCTGTATGTGTCAGTGTGATTCTTCTCTCGGCTTTCGTCATACAAATGATTTACTGTGAAAAAAATTTATCAAGGTCTATCCAGCCTTTAAGTCGGAACATTCCAATGGGTAGCTGCGCTGGGCCCCAGCTGTACAGCAATAACGAAACCCATTAAACTTCCAGGCTAAATTGACTGGGTTCCATCACGTCAAGTTCACAGTAAATTCACGACGATTACTATCACAACGCGAAAAATATTCCCAAATCTTCCTTTGTTTCTGTTGCTATAGGTCCAAACACTATTCGCAGCTAAGTGAATATAAGGTTGAAAGTGGTCCGTGATCACGACGGGCCTTGTGACCAACCTGGAACCTTATCACCTCTTTCCTAAGATACATTTTTCAGCCCCCTTTGGCCTTACGTTCCTGTGTAAAAGTTGGCAAGAGCGTAGTTCTTCTCACTGTTGCCGTTTGGCGCCTAAAGCTAGCCTAAATCGTGCCCAAATTTGAGATTAATCCGGTTTGTGACAACGTGACCGATCACAGTAATATTCTACCTGCACAGCGAAAAACTAGAACGAGTGGCCCACGTGCATGGTTGCATAGAAAACCGAATATTTGGGATCTCCCATGATTAACTAACGTAGTAGCTGGATGAAGACGCGTTCAAAATGACTAAATGAACCAACTATTTTTCATTTATAGAGAAGTAATTGGGACATTACAAGTAATTCATTTTTTGAAAACGGCCCTAGCACGACTTATCTTGCTGTATACGCCTGTCTTTCAGAACTTCTGTTGCCTAGAGTTAAATATTAGTGCAACGCATATTCGTATCACTGTCATCTCATGAGTCTTCCTCTTGTCCCAATTATTCTGTTAAATCCAAACTAAAGAAGGGGCACTAGACTTGGGTTTTCCCATTACAAGAGCTCATAATTGGCGCATGTCCTCGTACGTACTGGGATGTCCAGAGTTCAAATTCCAGCACGCCCTGATAAAAGCATTATTGTTGAGCTCCAGTAAGAGGAGAACTGGGGTCTAGTGCTTTCTTCTTTTGTTGTGGACTTGCCAACATAGCTGCACTGGAACAGGAGCAAGAATTTTCAAACAGAAGTGATGTAAATATGAATTCTGTAAATTCCGCAAGAACCTACGACTAATCTTAGGAAGATTGCCGAGTAAAAAAACATGTCTATCAAGTAAAAAGTGTAGTTAGTTTTGACGTAAAGATAGTTTCTAAGAACGTGGATTCCTAGGTTGGAATCTTATAAGAAAATCCTGCGGACTTTTAAGAAAAGCTCAAATGTTTTGCTTCTGTTGTTAACAAGTTTCACTTATTCCATCAGGAAGAAACAAAGCTACTTGGATGCTGCTGATATTGAAGAATGCTGTGGTTTGGATAAAGTTTGGAGGTTTGGTGTCGAATCAAATTCAGTTCAGATTATCTTTTTTTTAAAGCCCGAAGCTCGGATAGCCTCAAAAGTGGCAGAATTTTGCCGGAATAACCAAAGGCTGATGTCTATTCTATCATGGTTTGGTATTCCCCACAGGTGACAGGGCATGGGTCAACTCACTCGTCCTGACACTCCTTCAGGCTTTAAGATGACTGGAAAAGGTTTCGATGTTCAGGGTTTCAAGGTCGTGCAGATGGTGAAACAATGTAGCCGACGTTGTAGCCTATGCTCTCTGGTTGACAGGGCTCAAGTAGCATTGTGATGCTTGAAACTGGACGGCGGGTGTATAATCTTCTTTGATCCAGAATACGAGGATCATCTGATCACCCAACGTGTGGACTCCATCGCTCATAGTTGCCGTTTTAGAGGACGCAGTTGCTTCTACATCACCTGTCCAAGTACCCTGGACTTTATCAATGAATTAATCGGACAAACTCCAAGGGCCGATTTTGAAATATACAAAAGATTTAGTAATTTCCATATTACTGTCTCTCATAAAGGACTTTTAACATGCAGGAATGGTGAATGGAAAGTGATTTATTTTAGCTAAATCGAGCCAGGATATTTGAGGGACAAGTCTGACTTCTTTGGTTACGTCTTTTCACATGTAGGAGTGTATGTATAGCGTAGAATCATGAAACACGTGTATGGTTTTGTGGAGGACTATTTTTAGACGATAGTGGACCAATTCTCACTATTGTCAACCACTTGTAATGCTGTATTACGGGTTGCCAACCAACATCATAAGATAATTCGGTACAAGAAAACTGGCACTTTGGTGCATCGAAGGTAAGACACAAATAGTTTAATTCAACCGAAGAATGCCACCTACTATAGAATGCTTAGCTATTGCTAATATGCCACATAAAACCAGGGGAGAGGAAGCACCACAGTTGGAAATTATTAAAGGTATTGTATTGTTCGGTGGAAAGGCCTGTGGTTGCTTTCTTAAGTAATAGACACAGGTAATGTACAGATTATATTGCTACCGCATACTTTCGTTGAGTTTGGTAAAAAATTGCCATCAAAAACGGTTAGCGGATCCTGTCCAAAAGCGCAGAATAAGCTTTTTATTCTCGTGGCCTTAAAGATCATGTAAGTTTGGTTCATTTAGAACATTTTTTCGAGGCGAGCAAGTTAACCCAAAGTCCAGACCTACCTCCTTAAATTTGAACTACATGGGGGCGGATTACAAAAGGGAGCAGATACCTGTAATGAAGTGCCACGAAAGCCGCACTGACCACTTATTTAGAGGAATAGGCCAATTGTTCCAAGACAGCATTTTCACACAAGTTTCTTTTTGGAGAGGGCTTGAATCACCGCAGATATGTTGAAACGATGACCGCTTTGGCGCGATAACCGAATCAAACACTGATACATATAATGATAGCATGGATTCGGGAACAATTTTTTGTGACAGTCTTAACTGAAAAGAGCGATTATCAATAGGGAAAACAGTGCTGACTGGAGGTGTCATGGTACACATTTATTTATTTTAGTTAGTTCGTAAGTGATCGGAGAAGAGCGCTTGGCTGATCAGTACAAAGCCGATGCTCACACCTGGCAATTTTGATGACAGCATCGGCGCAACCTAATGGTGATCACTTTAGCTTTTGTAAATGCGTTCTGACGAATGACTGGGTGGCACTCGTTAAACCGCATTGAGTGATGCATTCGAATTCACTTCTGATTCGTATCGATTAGATAAACGGTAATCATGCCTATCACATGACTCATTCTGCTTATTATGCCCCGGAATGACAAATTTTTAGCCATTTCCTTCAACAAACTTCGAGTTGTCGGACTCATAAAACTTGTGCCACATTTGAAGAATAGAGAATACAACACAAGCAATGTGAATAACACAAGTCGACATCTGTCCCGGAGTGACTGGGCATCCTTCGGCATACATTCGTGCATGTAACCGGCACGACCACGGCAGACTTAATCGTTCCATCGGCTAAAATGCATCTATACTTGTGCCGGAGGTTACAGTGCTCTATTTCGCTTGCATAACAGTCCCTCAGACGCTGATTAAAAGTTTGGCACTATCTGTGTTAATGTTTCACCGTTTTGATTCATGAAGTGACTTCTCAGATTCGACCTCAAGGAGAAAAGCTAATCTTTCCAAGGTCCAGTTTGATGGAACCAGTTTGATGGATCTACTGAAGGACTGACAAACAAACAAGCAATTTTTATTGATTGCAGTAATTAAAATGTCAGTTTGCTCACTGGCCAAAGAACTTTGTTGTGAGGCTTGCAGTCAGGGAAATGTTGGTAGGCTAGGTTGTTTAACTGACTGATTTTCTGTTCACTCAGTCGGGCAATATGGCTGCAGCCGTTTGGTCATCAGCCTAAGTGACAGGGCATTTTATTTGGTTGGTGTTGGCTGTGCTCGAATCTATACGTATTTTTAACGTGGGAGGAATTGATGACTCCTGATCACAATTAGTGGTTAAGATGGTTGGTCACTTTTATAAGACGTTTAGCTAGCTTCATGCTTGATCAGCCTACTTTGACAACGAAGGGGAACGGAGAGATTAGTTGACCGCTACGGCAACCGTGGAGCCCAAAGACCAAAGATTATATGGACTGGGTCGGACAGATCAGACTCAAACATGATCACACACTGACCAGTCAGAGAGCTAGCCGACCATCCAATAGACTGAACCGATCATCCAAACTATTAATCATAATCAGAGATCACCAGTGCAGTACGCCAGCAAGACATGTACAAACACAAGTACAACACTGCTCAAGGCCTATACACACTGTAGGATTCCGCTAACATACAACGGACTGATAACGTTACCTCGGTTAGTGGCAAAACGTTTGTCACTGCATCGCTCAGTTAGTCGGACAGAACAACTGCCACTTGAAGGAAGACAAATTGCACAGGTATTATACGGATTTTTCTCAATGAGTTGATTTTGGAGGAGTCAAAGTCCCCCAACGAGCCGATTTTTAAATAAGTTGTTCCAATTTGATCGAAATTTTTTGACATCTAGAAAAATTAATTGCTATAATCTTTGATTTCTTCCATACTTTAGCGTAAGCCGCCACTGCCATGTGGAAAATATGCCCAGCTCCCTATGTGACGTTCCTGAGTAAACGCGGATCCACAGTCTACAGTAGAGTGACACCGGAGATTGACGAGCTGCTTGCATTAAACCCACGAGTTCAGAAATTTGCAAAAGTCATCCCAACTGCAATCACCAGAGAGGTACGTACACTATTTACACCCATTTAACTAGCTCGAGGGAACCTACGCAGCCCCTCACTATTTATCTTTCTCGTTTTCTTAGTCAGCTTTGTGTTATTCCCTCAATATCCTGCTTAAAGTTAACAAAACCCATAGACTCAACTCAACGTTGAAATACTTTTATAACTATTTGTCCTTGGGTTATTCTGACCAGAAATGCTGTTTGCTGCTTAAATCAAGAAGTAGTGTAACACTGTACCATTCAGACAAATCATCGCGGTTTGCCTGATTAATTAGCACTTAATTGACAACGTAATGCCGCACGATAAAACAACTGGCTTGCACCAACAGATTGTGCCGTTGTATGTGAACAAAACCAAGTCAAAGCAAACCGGCCTGCACATTTCTGTTGCCCAGAGGCGACGTCCAAGCTCAGGTAATCCCTCAAAGCAAACAAATTCTGGTTCCACATTTGTATTTTATTAAGAAGCAATTTAAATGTCTTCACCACTGTGCACTTGAGGAGCTCTGGAAGCCTACCTGAATCACAGCTCACAAAAAGCGACTCGGTAAAGTTTTTTGCAAGACAGCTGCTACTTCATTCACCGAGCAATTGCTTGTGACCACAGGAGATTGAGATTGACGCCAACACTGTTTTGAATCATCCATTGATCAAGATAGTTTGCAAGCCCCAAATGGGGCTAAGGGTCTACCTTAGTGAAGCTGAGAAGTTTTGGAATACGGTGAGACTAAAGCACAAGAACTATGCACATTCAGAATTTGTCTATCCGTCGACTGGTGCAAACCGCATCCATATGTTTATAAGCGTTTCAACGTTATACGAATGATGTAATTGGTTTCCTGACAGCTATGAGTTATGGCACAAATATCAACTATACCACACTTTTCAGATATTTCCCAGTCTGTGGGTTCGAAACAAGTATCCTCGCAGACCGCGGTACACACAAAAAGGCCATCTACTCGCTCAAATGAAACTTCCTAAATATATTTGAACATTCTTTGGTAGTAACTGAAAAATACTACTTCCATAATAATATTATGAACAAGATTCCTGCTACTCTTGTTGATGATATACACAAGTTTGCTTCTTTTGCACTGACAGATACTTTTAGGTGACAAGTTTCGAATTTTTGAAGGTTACAACTTATCAGTGATCTGCATCCAACTGCTAAAGGTTTCACTTACCGTATCCTAAAGAGCTTCATCCAACCTCCTGTTAAATAGTTTTGTTTATACCACGAGTGCCAAACGATTTATGCTTTTGTACTCTTCTATTAAGATACTCACAGTCGTAGCATGTGACTTCTCCGGAAGCTTTCTCAAGCTCACATAATTATACATAACACTTGTATAGACGTAGTATGCTACTCATAAGTTTGCTGAAAACCCTTCGGCAGCTCGCGAACGGTTCCGCTCTTCTTGGGGTTCATCAAGTAGGCACTGTCTCCAAGTCTGAACTCAAAGTGGACAGATTTTGACGACTACACTCATGTGATTATCAGTTTGATTGTGACGGGATACTCATCTGAAACACAGCTGAATTTTCTGTTTTTCACGTTTTTAAGATATATAGAACCATGTTTGCTACGGCTTTTCTAACCGAAGTGTGGAATTATTACAATGTGTGCAAAACAAGCATTCGTTTTTCGTAACGTACAGTGGGGCATGGTTACAAGCGTTCATTATCGAGTGTAAATTAGTGTAATTTTTTTCAAAGGTTAGCTCTGGTTTCACTGGTCCTACGGCACATGGAGGGTTGGCCAATAAATCGGCAGACTTATAACTTTCTTTTTACAAGCATGTCCTAATCACTCATGACTAATTGATTTCAAAAATCCACTGACTAAAAGAAAACTAAAATACTGTTCAATTTGCTGCCATTCTACCCTAAACAAGGAGAAAAAACACTGGAACGACAGACAAAAATTGCGCCACATGTCGTCCACTTATCGCCGATTTTTCTGACATCAAGCCAACGACACTCTCCGAACGTGGAGCATTGCGTGAGGCTGCTCGATGCTTGAAGTGTGCAGATGCTCCATGCCAACACAGCTGCCCTACCACTTTGAACATAAAGTCGTTTATCACTAGCATCGGGAAAAAGAATTACTACGGCGCTGCTAAAACTATTCTGTCGGACAATCCACTCGGACTGACATGCGGTATGGTCTGCCCAACGAGTGACTTGTGCGCGGGTGGATGCAATTTAGCTGCCACTGAAGAAGGTGCCATCAATATAGGCGGACTTCAGCAATTTGCGGTTGAAATATTCAGTCAAATGGGGGTGCCACAAGTAAGTCATTCAATTCTGTAGTGACTAGAAGCATTCTAGTTTATCCGAGGGTCGAGTTCCTCTGCCAAGACTGCCAAAGTTGTTCCAATGGTTTTTCGTTGGATTGGCAACTGATATATTCTCACTAAATTTGAGCACTTGATTCAAGGGAGGAAAGCTATTCGTCAGAAATTATCACGAAGACACTGCGGACGACATCAATGGATAGACTAGTACAGATGTATGATTTCCTGGCACGTGACGGCCACCTGCAGCCACAGTTAGAAACTAAATGGATGAGTGAACATAGTGAGTTAACAGAAAGCCCATATTGTGGGAGTGTGAGGAAGGACCAGCTTATCTGATCAGAGGGAACAATAGACTGCTTAGGATAACTGAATATACAGATACGTGAAGGAAATTTGATAGTTGTTGTGAGAGTGATTAGGATAGTTCAGGATCACATGTTTGGTAGCACAGTGGGAAATGCCGACAACGCGCTTTGTGGGGACCGGTCAAAGGCAGTTTTACCAAAAAGATGGGTGGGGTTTGAGCTAATTCAAGCCAGTATTTTTTTAGATATTTAAATGGTATGATATTGTTATTTATATTTTACTGTATGCACAAGCGATCAAGATATTTTCTCCGAATAATCACGGGAACCTTCACATCACCAAAACGGTTGGCAGATTGCATTGAACGTGACACTAAAGGTAACTGCTACCCAATACAAAAGAGCCCAATGTCTCGACAGCTTGCCTAAAATTTGTTAATGGGACTTTTCTATTCCTCGCAACGTTTTCATAATCTTTAGGTTGATTTTCCTATTCTACCATGAAACATTTTATGAACACGCACCGGATAAAGCCAAGGAGTTATAAAGATGATCATTAATCCATGTGATTCTGTCGTTAGTTTAACGCATTTAGTAAGATTCAAAATAGAGCCAGTACTAACTGATGGCCCACTTAATCTTGAATGTTAACAAAATTTTAAGCCTTCCGTCTGTATTCCAAATCATACGCCTTGTTGTCTAATTCTGAGTATGATGCGTGGTACGTTTTAAGATCATAATATCTTCCGGTCCTAACGATGTAAATAAGATAGATAAGTCACACGAACTGGAAGTCTGAAGACCCAAAGGATACTGGAAGGACGACTAGAGCACAGGTGTATTTTGGCAAACGAATAACACTCAAAGTTTACACGCGTACTATTGCCCGAATATGTAAGTTTTAAATATTGGAATCAGTAATATACAATGCCAGGATAATAAAAACATGCCTCATTTCAGTTTATCAAATTCTATAAACGAAGTGGAGTCGAGGGGAGTACGCTCGGCTGCGGACGTCCGCTTTAGTCTTTGTTAGTGCTCACCCCAACAGAATAGACTTCATCATAATGGTTAAATTCCATAAAGCTAGTGGAAAAACCCCTTCTCGGCTTTTAAACTCAAGTTTATGCAGTGTCATTTTATAAAAATATGATTGGCCTGGAGTTCACAACCTGATCGATCTCGACAGACAGAAGGCTTGGATGTCCACATGGGATCATGCCCCAAAAGTAGGAATCTAGTCAAAACCAGGGAATCACCAATGAAAACGGTTTTACATTTTGACTGTGGCAGAGTTTTTGAAAACTGAATTTGTATTCGCAGATATTGTTTTCCCACCAAGTTTGCATGCAATACAGAGGAGGTAAGCTCGTCTGCGGTTTATCTATGCACTGAGATGTGATAAAGTGATGCTTACTTCCACAAGTATCGAAAAGTTGACCTCATAATCGTTCGTCAATAAAGCATGTATTCACAGGACTGAAGACCCTTCACTATTTTGAGGTGAAAACTTCGAAAGCGTGTTTCTTGCGAGCCTGTCATCTCCTCTATCTCTGTCCTAAGCACAGATATTCCTGTATCTCAACATTTATCTGGAACCACTGTCTTTAAAGTAGCAGTCCTACATCACAATATGAGCTACACTTTCACAAATCTGTTAGGTCTACGAAGGTTGGGTGCAATGAAGCAAGTCAACCATTCTTAATATAACGTCCACAGAACTGTTCATCAATGGTCTAGAACACCTTCATCTAAACGATTCACTTGAAGTTGAGACCAAAATAAGCTTAGCTAACTTATTTCTCGGCAAAGAGAAAATTAAAAAACACTGAGAGAAGTGATGTTGGTTCCATCAATAGGCACGCTCACGTCATCAATCCAGTATGAACTACTGTGTGCAATCTAAAAAACGCGCTAGTTTCCGTTAAGTCCTTTAATTTTTGTTTATTCTGTCACGTAAGGGAGTTGACTGTGTAATAAGCTTGAGCGCAGGGTGCTAGTAATTGATAGAAATCATTCAGCTATAGCACCTTTCCGATGAAGTTGAGACCAAAATAAGCTTAGCTAACTTATTTCTCGGCAAAGAGAAAATTAAAAAACACTGAGAGAAGTGATGTTGGTTCCATCAATAGGCACGCTCACGTCATCAATCCAGTATGAACTACTGTGTGCAATCTAAAAAACGCGCTAGTTTCCGTTAAGTCCTTTAATTTTTGTTTATTCTGTCACGTAAGGGAGTTGACTGTGTAATAAGCTTGAGCGCAGGGTGCTAGTAATTGATAGAAATCATTCAGCTATAGCACTTTTCCGATGCCTAACTGCTATGCCACTAGAAGGAAGCATGAGCGCTGGGATAGTATAGGGCTGCCCAGGCCTAGACAGGGAAACCCGAAAGACAGAGGTCGGGTTTGAACCTAGGACCTTCCGGTCAGTAAATTAGCGCTCTAACCACTTGAGATATCAAGATATTCTGGTCTCTAAAGAACTAACCCTAACGATTGTGATCGAGCTCCACACGACCTTACAATCTCGTGATCCTAGGCGGTACCCGACTTGTGTGACTTTGCTTTGCAGTTTGCCGATCTTCAAGCTCCTTCTGTACGCAAACTTGTTGAGTCAGTTTGCGTTACAAACTCTACAGTTGAGCATATTTTTTGCTTTGACCTCGAAAGTGAATGAATAAACTTCATATGATAGAGTGTTTCAATGAGGAACTTTTTGAAATTTGCTGGAATATATTTTGTGAAAAGACAGCAATACGTTTCGGGGATTTTGGTGTGACCTAAAAAACCAGGTGTTTGTTGGCTGATTCGATATAACCAAGGCCAATATATACTTGCTCAAACGTTTGCTGAGCACAGTGGTATATCCTGTGTTCTCGTCATGCGCTTCACAACAAAGAAAACGCACAGTTATTACCACTCAAGTCAGTGCAAACAAAGCAAAATCAGTAAACGACAGAATGTAACGTCTAGCAAACGAAGTGATAAGCTTTGTGTTTCACAAAAAGCAGTGCTCTTGAAAAAGAAAACCACTGAGTTAATGGTTATAAAAAAGTTAAACACACTTCATGAGACCTAAGTTAGGACATTTAATACGGCCTCCACATTTGATGTGTCCAGTTTTTCATTCTTCTTTATTTAGTGTTATAGGTTATTTGTTTTGCTCTGGACACTTTGGGAGAAGTAAGTTTGGGGCTGCTAAGGTGCTGGTACAATAAAGAAGATTGAAAACAAAGTTCAGACAAACGGTTGATGGGCGGTAGCCGCGATTTAAACCTACCTATTTAATCTCACAGTGAAATTGTTGCGCAGTCGCTACTGTTTTTCCCCCTAACAGAACTACAGCTGAACTGAAATACTTATTGTTCACAAGGAGGTTGCCAGGCTGCCAGGTTGCCCAAGCCTAGATAGGGGAAGTCGAGATACAGAGTTTGTGTTCAGAACACGGACCTCACGGTCAGTAAATTTGCGCTCTAACTAATGAGCCATCTCGTTTACATTTTATTTTTTTAATATTTCCCCATAATTTATTAGTCTATCATTTCCTTCAAATTGAACTTCGTGGCTGGATGCCTCGAGCGGATATCTGGATTATATCTGTCCTTCAATGTTCCACTTCTGGCAGTGGACCACACTTGGAAAAAATCGCAATGGGCGTAAATGTGTGAGCGAAAACCTAATTGAGGTTGGATTTTTTATACAGGTTTTTGCTGTAGAAAGCTATCTTTACTTTAGGGTGAGGAGAGAGAACTGCCTTGTAAATATGCCAGAATACTAGAAAGCTTTTGGCAGTGTAAACAGCTTTGAGGAAAAGAAGTTCAACCCTTGCTGTGGATTCTTCAATGCGATGCGATTACGTTCTGGGACGTTACAAATAATAGGGACTCCCATTCCTGGCGATTTTTGCAGAACATTTACATCCAAAGGTCTGTGAATCTATAAGAACGGCGACAGAGCAGGTCATGTGTATTACACCAGCGCGGCCGTCCAGCACCACCATTCACTCCCGCTATGCAGTCGCCGGCGTTATGGTCAACGTTTCTGATGTAGCCGATTCAATTTTCTAGCAACACCCAGCCCCACCCTATTAGTAAACATTTACCTTTTGTCGCATTGTAACAGACTTGAAATTGTTCCAGTGGCTATGACCACTAGACAAGCGCAGTGTTCTTGTAGAATTCTACTTTCGAGTGGTACGGTCTTACATACCCTAAAACCACATCAGTCAGCAAGGCATAGCATAACTTCAGCCGTTTTTCTACTTCCCACACATGGTTCGGTTTGTAGAATCTTTAAGCGCACGCCTGTGCTTTCTTGCGATTTACTCTCATAGGTGAGCTACAAAAGATGAAACATATTGGTTCGTAAAATTTGCTGACAGCCCACGGCCGGTTTTGCCCTTCTTGGGGCTTATCAGGTAGGCGCAGTCCCCGAGTTTCCGTCAACCTTATGTTCTACTTGAAACCAGATTGCACGAAATTAGCGAATATACACTTATTTGCAAACTAATTTGGTTTTTCGAGTCGCTCACCTGGAACCCAGCTAAATCTCTCGTTTGTGATGTTTCTAGGCGAATTTTCAGCAACCTTATGATTAGTGCATTACAAGTATACATGTATCGCGATATCTCAAATATCGTAGCGACTAAAGCATGAGGCGGCCTGGTGCAGCACATTCAGTTGCCT